GGGAGGAGCAGCTGAGGGAGCTGGGGGTGCTGAGCCTGGAGCAAAGGAGGCTCAGGGGAGACCTTCTGGCTCTGCACAGCTCCTGACAGGGAGGAAAACAGCCTCAGGTTGCCCCAGGGGAGGTTGAGGTTGGCCCTGAGGAGCAATGTCTCCCTGGCAAGGGCTGTGCAGGGCTGTGCCAGGCTGCCCAGGGCAGTGGTGGAGTCCCCACCCCTGGAGGGGTTTCCAAGCCCTGGAGATGTGGGGTGAGGGACACGGGGCAGTGGGGACCTGGCAGGGATGGGGGAAGGGTTGGACTTCATCTTATAGGTCTCATCCAACCCAGATGGTTCTGTGATTCTAAGGATGATGGGCCTGACTGCACACAGAAGGGAGGACAAGGATCCTGGTGTGGGGAGTTCACAGATTTTACTGGGGTGGTTTCCTCTCTTTAGACAGCTACAGATATCTGCTCTTAATTTGCAGCAGGAGTCAGAAGAGGCTCCCATCCCATTTGGACACAGCAAGTTTAACAGCACCATCACCACTCCAGGTAGCCACCTTGGCACCTTCCCAGCTCTCTGGGAGCACATTGATTTCCACACTGCCTGCAGATGCCCTAGAACCTGCTATGGGAGCTGAAAACAGGTTCATCTACACCAACTGCAGCCAAGCCACCTACACTGCCCTGCAGAGACACAGCCTGCAACCTTGCTCTGCTTTAAAATGGGCTTTAAAGGCTGAGGGAGACCAGAACTTCACAGCAATGAGCATTTTACTTCAGAAAACTGGAAAACTTCTTTCCTCTTTTCCTATCCAGTTGCTGAGTTGCTCAGCTCAGCTGCATCCCCAAACTGCCATGCAAAATTTCAGTGTTCCTTTAGTTGCTTGGGAGGGGTAGATGAAATGTAACCATCTCACTGGGTTCTTTCCATCCATCTTGTGGATAATTCTAATCTATATTAACCAAGAAGCTTAAAAGTTTTCCAGCCCCATCTAATTTTAGAATCCCATCCTTTAAGTTGAGCCACAAGAAATAAAATCACATCTATTTGACAAAATACCAAGTGCTAAGAGCTTAAATATGTCTTTCCTGTGAAGAATTGTTCATGAGAAGACAGACATAAAATGCCATCCTGCCATTTTTCTTGTAAATTAGGCTTTTTAGACTGTACATACCTCATGCCAAAAAAAAATGGCTATGGTCAGATTTAATTTGTCACATAAAATCCTGTTCAATAATCCATTTCAGTACAAGTCATGGCAAATATAGATGACAGTGAGTATAAAAGAGACTTTCAAATCCATCTTGAAGAGTGCTTCTGGCCTCCAGATAGAGGATGTTACAAGTAAGTGTATCAAATTTACCCTAAAGAGTTTTTGAAAATGAAATACACCTCCAGGTTTCTCCTCAGGTGGTTTTTAAAGCTGCTTGTCTGCCACAGAACTGGAAGAATCAGATGACAGAAGAGTGATTCCCTGATTTCCTCAAAATGAGTTTGGAATGAATGATCAGTGGCTCCTCAGGAGTCAAAGCTCTCTCAGAGCAACACCTCAGGTAGCTTGTATTTATGGTGCAGGGGGAAAGCTCTCACCAAGAAGCTCTCACACCCACAGAAGAGGCTAAGGACACAGACCTGGACCTGCTGGAGTCACCAAGTGAGTGTAGGTACAAAAGGCAGCAATCCAGAAGAAAGAAGTTTGGTTTGCAGCACAGTTCTGTGAGATCCAGGTAGGTACAAAACACCTGACAGGCAAATAACTCAAGTTTCAGGGATTACCTGAAGAAATACTGCCTAGAATAGAATCTGACAAAAACTCATCAAGTCCAACAGTGGAGAGGAGGCTAAAACAAGGAGGTTTGTTGGTTTTTTCCCTCTTTCCTTGCAGGGCCCACTACCAATCTTTCAAGATTCTTTTTCTTACACTGGTTTATCAGTGGACTTTGAGCCAAAGCCACAGAAACAGTAAGAAAAGAAGCTTAGGGAGAACTGAAATATTTTGAGCAGGATGATACTTCAGAGAGATGTCACAGCACCTTGAAGGAAACAGAAATTGAGGCTATAAGATTTTATTAGGAACTTACAGATCCTCCTGTTGGTTGATGAGATATTAAGGATTTGGGAAATCTCTGTGGATTGCCTGGTACTGGTGTTTGAACAAAAGCCATCCAGAGCAAGAAGACTTGAGAGTTAAGAGAAGTCTAGCGAGAAGAAGAAGACCCAGCAGTTGCCACAGAGATCTGCTGCTCCAATTCCCAGATTTACCCACAAAATATGAAAGGGAAGTTGTTATTAGTTCATCTTTCCAAGAACTACCACAAGGTTTACTGCTTAATGAAGAGCTGCTGCCAAATATGTTCTCTGCCAACGTGTCTTCTCCCTCTCAGGTCATGAAAAAAAACTACTGACTGCCAAAGGAACTACAGGACTCATTTATTCTGATCCCTGCAGAAGGAGGCAGGCCAAAGAGAATGCTCAGGGAATGCTGGTTGGGATCTCTTTGGAAAAGGGAGATAGAAGCTGATAAAGCTTTCAGAGATGGGTATCTAGAACTAGAGAAGCAAGAATCCCCCAAGGGATTTGGGCCAAGGATTGGAGAAACAAGGAAGAATGCCACTGGAAGTGGTAACTGAGGAAATATTGATTACATAAAAAGGAAATACTATGAAATGTTGGTAACACCAAGGAAATATTGATGATTGTGTGACAGAAATCTGTGTGTAAAGAAACCAGATCACTGGGAATTGTTTATGAGAGGTGTCAACTTGCTTAAGATTCTCCAGTAACCACCTACCTGCATGTTCTAGATTTTAACTACCTGCTTTGTTTCAGATTTTTTAAATGAGATTTTATTAAAAACTCACTCAAATTTTAGGTAAAAACAACTGTAATAATTTATCCTCTCCTCTCCCCAAGTCTCCCACCCATGTCTATCATCACCACACAGCAGTGACAAGGCAGAAAGCAGCTCCAGGCAGCATTCTAGCTTGGAGAGGAGCAAGAGTAAAGGACACCAAGATTTGCTTTGCTGTTAGAAGATGAACCACCCCACCTTCAATGCAAACAGAGCCAACATCTCTTCCAAAGGAGCTATGGCAGCACAGAATCAGAGCAGTGTTTGAGGTGTCCTCTTCCAAAGCTGCCCAGGGCAGTGGTGGAGTCCCCACCCCTGGAGGGGGTTCAAAGCTGTGGAGATGTGGTGTGAGGGACATGGGGCAGTGGGGACCTGGCTGTCCTGAGTTAGCATTTGGCTTTGATTCTCTCAAAGGTCTCTTCAAACCAAAACAATTCTATGATTCTGAGGAAGGAGAAAAGAGTCTGACTGAGACTGACACAGTGGCCAGTGGACAATGAGTCCTTGAAGATCTTGCTGCAGCTTGATCTGTTAGAACCTATCTCAAGGAGGCAGAGATTTAACTTGGTTAGGTTTGAAAACAGACTATTCTGCAAATCTTTACTGGACAGGCACTCCCCAAAGACAAGGGATGCATTCCCAAATATTGCAGTCACTATGTATTTGAAGAAAAGATTCTGGAAGAAAGAAAAGAGACAGGCAATGGGCAAACATGAAAGGGTTTGGAGTTCATCAAGCTGAGCTGCCAGACACCCATTTCTCTTGCCACAAAGTTGGCTTGACTTTCAGAGGCTTGGGTGACTACCAGTGGGTCAGCAGCAAAAAAAGGCAATTCCTGACAAAGGGTAGGAGTTCAAAAGGAAAACCCAAAGAAGGTGAAGAGAAACAACAGAGCCATGCAGGGATGCACCTTTTAGAGCTGAATGGGATGCACTTACATGGCCCCTGCTGTCATGGGACCAACAGTGAGGTTAGCTGAGGCCTCCCCATCTTGCTAAAAGACATCTCAACAAGATGATCCAACACAGCTTGATATGTCCTTTCTCTTTCTCACCTGAATTCAGAGGATGCAGGGTCTAAATTCCTTATGTTATTTCTCACAGGAACAGCATTCCAGATGTTTGAGAGGGCAATATGAGAGGCAGCTTGAATTTCAAAGGGAATGTTGTCACAAGTTAGTGACAAATGAGCATACAAAAACTGGCACATGCCTCTACATTTTCTTCTCAGCCCTGCACTCCTGAGATGAAGTGTTTCAGTTTGATGGTATGACTCAAAAAATAACAAGTCAGACTTCAAACCAATGCCCCCAGCCATTATCTAGCCAATCATTCATCATTAATTAGATTCCAGTTTTGTCTCAGCTCCCTCCTCCCCAGAAAAAAACAAGCCCAGAGAAGCCCTGTGTGAACGGGTGGCATGTCACTGATGTGCAGACAAGCAGCTGAAGGAGAACTTGGGCAAGATGTGGCCCAGGCTGCCCAGGGGGGTGGTGGAGTCACCACCCTTGGAGGGGTTCAACAAACGTGGAGATGGGGCACTTCAGGACATGGTTGAGTGGCCATGGAAGTGTGGACTTGATGATCTTGGAGGTGTTTCCCAACTATGACTCTAAGATGAGTTGATAGTCCTGTGGTTTGTATTTCTAGTAGCAGTAGAGTGAAAAAAAGGGACTTAAAATACATTTTCTAACTGATTTTGCACAAAGATCTATAGAGAGATGCTGTTCCTTGAGGAGAAGCAGATATTTGAGAGAAACTTCTCTTATGAAGCTGCAGGTGGAAATATTTTTGTATTTGATGTCCAGTTGCTGCAGTGTGCCCTTAAATTTCAAGAGGAATGTGATGATCAAATCTGAATGAAATTTTGGATCAAGAAATCTTCCTCTCCCTCTGAACCAACTGTTAATTTGGCATTTAAAAAAACCCCTCTGCATGAACCACACTTGTGTGAGCCACCTTCAAGGCAGGAATCCCTCAGCTGCAGCTGAAGCAGGGCTGCAGAGAAGCCCATTTTGAGGCTGTTCTCAGCTTTTTGAGCAGTGCTGGTGGCAGTGGATGGGTTCTCACCTGCCTTGGCTGCTCTGTCACTCGCTGGGGGTCAGACCTGACTTTGTTGCTGGGGTGGTTGGTAACTTTGGTGACTGGCTGCTTGAAGATGGACGCCGTCTGTCTGATGGGGAGGGTGGTATTTAAGTCTGGTTTTCCCTGTTAAAAAAGAAGAAAACAAGTGAATTAATAAAAATCATTCCTAAAAAGTACACACATTAACGTTGGAATCACCCTCTCCTACTGCTGTGCAAAAGGAGGAGGCTCTTTTTGGAGTAAAGACCTCCCTTAAGTGCTGTAGTTAACTACCCTTTGAAGTTATCTATTGTAAAGAGAAGCAAACAGAACATGTAACTGGTTCCACACAATTTCACCTTCTCAGGGAGAATCAAACTGCTTGAAAGTCCATCTTTTCCTTTTGTTAAAAGATATATTCATGGCTCAAGTGACTTACACTCTGAAAAGAGACAGCTTCACCATCAGATGTCAACAGGCAATCTCCAAACCTTCATGAAAATATGTCTGTAGCAAACAGTTTAGAGAGTTCCAGGTTCAATTGTGATTTTCAAAGTACCTGTCCTTCAGAGCTTAGCTAGAGCAAGCAGACAGGGTAGGCTCTCCACCATCAGAATGGCCATAAAAATAAAATAGAAATAAAATAAAAAATGGATCTTAGCACAGCTCTGTTACTGCAAAGGTGGAGGGCTGAGGAGGAGGGGAGTGGGAAGTCCCCATTCCTATGTATGGGCAGCACATTGTCTAGAAACCAGCAACCAAGAGCATCAGCTCTGCACTCCACAGAAATGACTTTCATCATGAAGACTATTCCACAGGCAAGCTGTTTGAGAGACCTTTAAGATCAAGTCCAACTGTTCCCCCATCCCTGCCAGGTCCCCACTGCCCCGTGTCCCTCACCCCACATCTCCACGGCTTGGAAACCCCTCCAGGGGTGGGGACTCCACCACTGCCCTGGGCAGCCTGGCACAGCCCTGCACAGCCCGTGCCAGGGAGACATTGCTCCTCAGGGCCAACCTCAACCGCCCCTGGGGCAACTTGAGGCTGTTTTCCCCCTGGCAGGAGCTGTGCAGAGCCAGAAGGTCTCCCCTGAGCCTCCTTTGCTCCAGGCGCAGCACCCCCAGCTCCCTCAGCTGCTCCTCCCCACCCTTGGCCTCTAGACCCTTCCCCAGCAGCTCCGTTGCCCTTCTCTGGCCACGCTCCAGCCCCTCAAGGTCCTTCTTGGAGTGAGGGGCCCAAAACTGACCCCAGGATTGGAGACAGTGCCAAGCAGAGACCAGGAGGAACCAGCACTGGCAGAGGGATTGCCAGAAGCAGCCAGAGCAGCCTGCCTGGCTCATGCCTCTGCCTCACCCCAACCTGACACACCACGAGGGTCACTGTACTGGCTGCTCCTAGCCAACTATTTGAGTCGTCTCTTGGGTGCAGAGAGAGGCAAGGGAGCAGCCTCTTCATGGGCCTCTCCAGGCTGACATGGTGTTACAGATCCTTCATGGTATGAAGAAAAAAAAAGGAATTCCTCCTTATTTTTCCTATGGAATTCTCAGGAATGTAATTGATAGGCAGGAGGAACAGAGTAACACTTCCCATTTATCTGAGCATCTCCCCACAACCTAAATGAGGAGCTAGTTTTCAAATTTCACACCCCAGTTTCTCATGCAGGTGATTTGTGAAGAGGACTATGCGTATCCTCAGCCATTCAACAGTACAACTCACTCCACACACTCATTTGTAAATCAGAGCTGTAGCATTTGGGGAAATCTTGCTTAATACTGATCTGCTCATCCTCTCAGAAGAGCCAAAAAAGTTCTCCAGACCAACAGAAATTACCACCCAACCAGCACAGAACTCCTAAGATCTTTTTATACAAAGCAAAAGTGAGAATCTAAGCTTAGAAATAAATCCAGGCATCAGCCTTCTCCTTGTGTTTCACCCAGGTAGTCCCAGCTGACTAGAAAAATACTTCCAGGTACTCTGCTCACTGCTTTTACCATGAGCTTTGCAGGGTGGGTTCTGGCTACAGGCTCTATTTTTCCCCCCCCAGTGATGATACCAATGTTAGACTAATGTTAGACTTTATCATATCTATTTTAATATATTAATTGAAGCATCTCTGACCACCACCCAGAGCTAGACACTACTCACATGTACTTGTATTGGCAGAAAGTCTCTTGGCAGTGAAATTTCCTCACACCACATAACTTAGTTCACCACAGAACCTTCGTAGACCTCACCTCCCCTACAAGCTCCACATTCCCTGATCTTGTGACATCAAGTTCAAAGCAGTGTTGGAAGCTTTGAAGCCCATGCCCCCGGGGCATTCTGTGCAGCAGCATCAGAATTCGTGGTCATACAGCTATTAAACCTGACAGAATCCCAAAATATTCCCCAGCCACCTGCCACACGGGGGATAAATCTGGTTTAGCAAACGTTTCTAGAGCAAAGGTCTTTGTTTGGAGTTCATGAAAAATATTTACAGGTTCCTTTGGGCCTGTAATGGGACTTAAAGAGAAGCTCAAAAAGAACTCCATTCAACTCTGGCAAATCAAAAGGACACCAACTTGCTTGGCTCAGCAGCTCCAGCAGCTCCTCGGATGTACACCTCATAAAATTTAATCACTCATTGACAGAATTCAGAAAAATGCTTTTCCACAACAAACCACAAGCCAGCCAGTAAATAAGATTTATTCATGACAAAGGAAAAGCTTCCAGAACATCCCAATAAAAATCACTAACAAAGATCTCTACGGGCATCACCTCCCCTGAAGAGCCTCCAGAGAGAAGACACCACCTCTGTGTTTCAGAGGGTCAGACACGGATGGAGTGGAGGTTTCAGAGGGTGATTAACTCACAATGGTCACTTTTCAGCACACCTACTAAACTATTTTATGCTCCAGCAACAGCTTCCAGAAGAATTTCAACCCCCTGCCTTTCCCAAGACATGTATTGGCAGAAGCATCAAGGTGCCTCGGACATAAAGATGTTTTAAAAACTCAGCAATGTATTTCCAGGTCTTCCCAACCCTTTAACCCACAAAGTCACACAGAATCAGGCAGCACATTTCTTTTACAGAATGGTGGGGGCTGGAAGGGAACTCTGGAGATCACCTCATCCAGTGGCCTCACCAGGGCAGAGTCCGAGAGGGAGGAGAACCTCCCTTGGACCTGCTGGCCACACTCTTCCCAATAAAGAGCTGATAACCACTTTGTTCTAAGCACAGCAGGATGCTCTCTCTACTAAATTCACAGTCAATTGTATTCCTTATTTCATTGTTTCTTCTAAAGCACTTCAAATTAAAAAAGCCACTTAATTTGCAAGGGAAATGTAAGAATGGGCACACAGAAAACAATGGCAAGATTGGTAGAGGTTGGAAAAAAGCCTCCTCCTGAGGCTCCACCATAAATAACCCTGTCAAGAGATGTCTTTACTGACAATATGAGAAGGGAGGAAGAATGCACCAGGCTCAGACTGGAGATAAGAATCCTAGCAGAAGATTATTCCCATGTCATTTCCACTGCTGTACATTAACATCACAAAATGGAGAGCATTCATTAACATCTATTATCAGAGAATCAGAAGATGGTCTGGTTTGGAAGGGACCTTAAAGATCATCCCACTCCAACCCCCCTGCAGGCAGGGACACTTTCCACTAGACCATGTTGTGCAAGGCCCAGTCCAACCTGGCCTTGAACACCTCCAGGGATGGAGCATCCACAGCTTCCCTGGGCAGCCTGGGCCAGGGTCTCACCACCTCACAGTGAAGAACTTCTTCCTAATTCCTAGTCTAAATCTCCCCTCTTCCAGTTTGAAGCCCTTACTCTTCCTCCTATCACCACAAATCCTTGTAAAAAGTCCCTCCACAGCTTTCTTGTAGGCCCCCTCTAAGCTCTGAAAGTCTGCAAGAAGGTTTCCCCAGAGTCTTCTCCTCCTCAGGCTGAACAACCCCAACCCTCCCAGCTTGGCCTTACAGCAGAGGGGCTCCAGCCCTCAGTTCCACTTCAAGCAGGTGCCATTAGTATGCCAACCTTGACACTGAGTTCTCATCTGCCAACGAGGAGAACCTCCAAGGTCAAACCATGGCAGGACAGCATTTCCATCCACCAGCTGCACAAATCTTGCTGCCAAGACACGTCCCAAAAAGAAGACTTAAGCATATTTCCATATTCCTTCTTGAAACTTAAGGGGAGCCAAAGATTCTAGAAATGTTTGGGTAAGTTGTTTGTACAAAAACAACCAACCCATAAACTAGGAGCAAGTTGACACACAAACTTGCCCAAGCAAGTCTGTCTTTTATGGCCCCACAGCTGCAAGGTGGACTAGGAGAGACCACAACCAACCTCTTCCAGTGTCTCTGGGAGAAAACATCAATTTCAGGAATAACTCTGAGAGGAATACTACAGAAATTCATCAAATCATAGAATGGGTTGGGTTGGAAGGGAGCTTTAAAGGTCATTTAGTCCAAGCCCCCTGCAGTGAGCAGGGATGGTCTTGGAAGCTCAGGAGTTACAGATTCAGTTGCTTAGAAATACTAAATGTTGTTTATCTCCAAAAATAAAAGGCTTTTTTGTCTAATCTTGTATTTAGTGGAGCTACTGTGAGCCACCTTCTAAATCATCTAAGATAACAGGAATACAAGTGAGCACAGACTCTTCTAGATTTTATATACCAAATTTTGTATTTTCTGCTCACAGAACCACAGCATCCCAGCATGTTGGGGCTGAAGTGACCTCTGGAGATCATCTCATCCAGCCCCCTGCTCCAGCAGCTCACCCAGGGTCACATCCAGGTGGGTTTGGGATCTCTCCAGCGCAGGAGACTCCACAGCCTCTCTGGGCAGCTGCTCCAGGCTCCACCCTCACACCAAAGAAGTTTCTCCTCCTGCTCAGGTGGCACCTCCTGGGTTCCAGTTGGTGCCCGTTGCCCCTTGTCCTGTGGCTGGGCACCACTGACCAGAGTCTGGCCCCAGCCTCTTGCCCCTCACCCATTAGATAACCATGAACACTTCTGCTCCTGCAGAAAGCCTAACCAAAACAATCCCTTGGGCTACCCTTCCATGTTCTATTATCTGAAAGCCTCATGTCTGCAGGTAGAAAATATCAAATAATTTGAAGGCATGCTTTAATGCAACAGAACTCAGTGTGAGGTGTGTGCTGCATGCATCACCAACAGCAGATGAGCAAAACCAGCAGCACACAAGAGGCAGCTATGACTTGTGAGGGATTTTCACCACCTCCCAGTGAAGAATTTCTTCCTAATTTCTAATCTGAATCTCTCCTCTTTTAGTCTGAAGCCATCACCCCTCATCCTATCACTAGAAGCTCTCATAAAAAGTCTCTCTTCAATTCTGAAGAATAAAACACTGTAAAAAGAAAACACTGCAGAAATCCTTAGAAACTGTTTGATGAGAGTTCTAAAGTTTGCCCAGGAACACATTACCTGAGAGTCACTAAATCTCATCACACCTCTAAGTGTGTTATTTCACTTAGAGGTTATTTCACCTCAGTTATTTCACTTCTATACCTCAGCCTTTTATTTTTCACCTCCAAAACGTGGTTTCTACAGTATTGAGCAGGACACACTGTTGTTCAAACCCAGGCAGTGTGAGAACAACCAGATCAATGCAGAAGGGCCCAATCTCCACGAGGAACACCCCCAGCCTTGCTCAGCTACAGAGCCCTACCCAGACCCCCTGCTTTGTCCAGGTAAAGTCCAGCTACCTCAGGAAAGAAGCTCCCTGGCACGTGTGACAAAGGTGAGGGATTCCATCTCAGAACAGGAAGATGAACAGAGGGATCTGAAGAGAATCTCTTGGTGTCAGCTGCCCTCACTCCATCAGAGGAGTATCGTGCAGGTAGGTGACTGGTACTGAGGTTCTTAGTCCCAAGGCAACTCCTGATTCATGCTTAACCTCACCTTGATGTTTTCTCAGTAGTAGCAGAGTATTCCTTCTAGTTATAACTTGATGTCTCTACCACTACTACAAATGAAACACACAGGTACAACTGCTTTGAGCAGAAAAGAAATTGCTAAATGAACTACAGGAAAGGAAATTCTTAGGATATCCTTAAACACAGTATTGACTAACAAACCTTATTTTGATTGAGAGAATCATTCCTTAGTCTCTGTTTGTTCTTCTGCAATTTACTGGGCATCATCTTTCCCGTTCTGAAGTCAAAACTGCTGAGATCAACAGTGTTTCCCAGGTATCTTGCCAACTGAGGCTTGCTTCTGAACTTCTTACCACTTGGACTAAAAAGAAGAAAACACTTTAGTATGTTTTGTTGTACAAGAGGATACAACCTTGACTTCTTACAATAGGTTTTATACCTTGTGAAAGAGCTAAAAGGTTTCAGTTATCTTTACTCCTCATGGATGGGTTGATGGGGGATGACTCCACCACATACCTGCCCAGCCTCTGGTTATCCACTCCCATCCTCCACACAGGGCTCAAGGTCTACGTGGGGCTGCTGGGCACTAGGGTTGGCCACCCCTTTGGGAAGCTGGGTTAGCAGCACAGCCCAACCAAAGCCCAGGACAAGAGGTAGGCAGCAGCCCGTGGCCAAGTGCAGGACCTTCTCTGCACAAAGGTAAAGACCATCTGCAAGGCTGGGACTCCCTGCTGGGTCTAAGGCCAGCCCAGGCTCAAGAGGAGCCCTCCTCAGCTAGGCCAGTGGGCGTGGAACTGGGGGCTGAGGGGACACAACACCTCCCAGCTGGGCAGTCACGGGGACTGGTGAGCAAAGCCAGGTAAGTAACTGAGCAACAAGCAAGCAGCAAGCAAGCAAGGTGAGGCAGAATCTGAAACAGGTCCAAAGCTGCACTTGTGTCCACACATCCCACCATGGCAACTGAAATCGGTCGTAGGGGAGAGATTTAAATCACCTCCTTTGGGAATTTTGGCATTTTTATTACCCTGAAGTCCCAACTGGTGTTTTTGAGTAACATCAGCAAGCAGCCAATGTGCCCGTTATCACAGAATCATAGACTGGTTTGGGTTGGAAGGGACCTTTAAAGGTCATCTAGTCCAACCTTCACCCCCCCTGTTCTCAGGAAGTGCTATTTCTACCAATCTTTCCCCCACAGAACTCTCTGTCCTCTGATCTGTAGCTGGTTCTCAAGCACCTCGACCACAGGCAGGGGCTTTGTGCACACTCTGCACTGAGTCCATCTCCTCCAGGTGTATTTTGACTCACCTCACTGGGGATTCCTGCACTGTCAGGGCCAAGGGGGCTACCCCCAGACTGAAAATCAAGTATCAAGACCTGCTGTGCAAAACTCAGGCTGCAAGACCAGTTTGTGATGGTCTCCCAGTACAGAGAGCTGTGCAGCTCTCTGGGTGAAGCCCACAGTCCCTGGTCTGATGCAAATCTCTAGCCAGTGAAACAAGTCGAGCATCAAAATCCTCTAACTGCTGCAACCCTAAAGGTTAAACTGAGCTCAGGGAGGTTTTCACACCACTTCCTATCTGCAGAGAACCTCTGAAGATTGTTCTTTCTCTCAGAAGATTGTTCTCTTCTTTCTCTCAGAAGATTGTTCTCTTCTTTCTCTCAGATTTTTCTCTTCTTCACTTTTCCAAAGTGTTTTGTTTCTTTTTTTTTTTTTTTAACTTAAAAACACCTCGAGGCAAGAACATCCCCAGGGAAGAATATGTTTGGAATTCTGGGAAAAACAGCTAATTAAGCCAAATATTTTTCAAAGTTATTTAAATGAACCCAGAAATATGGAAAGCCATCACTAAGAAGTGGTAAAGGGTGGGAGAAAAAGACTTAAAACAGATCATAATCTGAAGCTAACCTCCTCAAGGATGGGTGTGGGAGGGGAAAAAAAAAACCCACCCCACTTCTGCACACACACACACATCCCACCACAAAAACCCTTCTCTGCTTCTCATAAAGCAAGAATGGAAGCTCTGCTACAAGCCAAACTAAACACCACACCAGTTTTATTTTACAGAGTGGAGATTAACACCCCGGGTCGTTAACAGCATGACAAATCCTGCACTGAAGGTCAGAGATGGAGCAAGACTTTCGTGGGGGGAGTAGGTTTGCTCTTGAAAATCATCTGACTCATTGTCTTTCATTCCTTTTCAGGCACCTAGGAGGAAAGTTGAGGATGAAACCTTGGCAGGAATTGCTGGCTGCCTGGCCCTCTTTCCTAACGGAGTGGAAGGTGCCAGTAAAGCCACTTATTAAAACCTCCATCCACTCAGTTCTTTTAGCCCATGGCTAAATAACTACCAAAAGGACAGAGAAATTTGACATCCTACATCTTCTCCTGTCCTACCCTAATTTTGGTGCCAAAGAGGAAACATGTTGCCGTTCATTTTCCCCACATCTCCACCTTCTACTGATCTGCAAGTGTGACAACCAAGAAGCTCCTGTTGTCTCCTCTTCACCCCATACCTTAAAAAGTTCATGAAACCTGTAGTATCTTCCACTCTCCAGCTTCACTGAAACCTAATGACACAGAGAAGTGAAGTTCAACACACTGAGTACCACTCCTTGTGCCTACTTCAAGACATCCTTTTGACACAAGCTCTAAAATCTAGTGACTTTTACCACAAAACTGCATTTTGTTTGATTGCATTTCCCACAAGAGCCCCTAGCCTCAATTGTTGCTTCATTTCAGAGTCTCAATAAGCTCATAGGATATCAAAAAACCTGGAGAAACTGTGTGCTGTGTAAACCTCCTGGTTCAGCCTCAGGAGCTGGCAAACAAAACACCCACAGACCTTCCACTGAGTTTCAAGGCTGCAATTTTTTCTGATACCACCCAGAGTCATCATTTCTCCTTAGACTTCCCCCCTGTTCTAAGAAAGAGAGGAAGAAGTGAGCTGGAAGGATTTGAATAAACTCAAAACTTTATTTCCACTATATCTATATTAGTTTTCACCTATTTTAATGATTTTTCACCACCAGTCCTGCTGCTGTTTCCATTTTCTGCTGTCAAACCACTGAAGTAATTCCTGAATTGTTCCCAGATCATCTTCACTCTCTAACCTGCTCCTGCTGCAAAATCTTCCCCTACCTGCAGAGAAAGCTCCACGAGGTGAAAGTCAAATAAAAGGCCTATTTGCAGAGGTTTCATGTGAACATCTATTAAATAATTAGCATGTACTAATAGAAAGAGGTTATAGAACCTGTTTAAACTATGTGTCTAATAAAAGCCTGCTCCTTACACACCTTGGTTGAAACTAAGGAACAGCATGTACTGCCTTTTTTTTTCCCCTGCAAATATTAAAACCAAATTTAAATTCAGATGTAGGTTTGAATAGAAAAGGCAGGTGGAAGGAGGATGAAGCTTTCTTCTCTCTGAGAAGGCACCTGAATACTCTGGAGCTATCTTAGAAGTCCAGCTGAAAGGGATATTGAAGACAGCTCAGACTTCAAAGTCACCCTTGCTGCAGAAGACAGAATCACAGAATTGTTTGGGTTGGAAGAGACCTTTAAGAGCATCCAGTCCAACTGTTCCCCATCCCTGCCAGGTCCCCACTGCCCTGTGTCCCTCACACCACATCTCCACGGCTTGGAAACCCCTCCAGGGGTGGGGACTCCACCCCTGCCCTGGGCAGCCTGGCACAGACCTCCACAGCCCTTTCCAAAAGACATTTTCCCTCATGTCCAACCTCAACCTTCCCCCTGGTGCAACTTGAGGCCATTTCCTCTTGTCCTATTGCTTGCTCCCCAGGAGAAGAGACCCCCAGGACAAGAAACCATCCCCCACCTGGCTCCAGGCTCCTGTCAGGAGCTGTGCAGAGCCAGAAGGTCTCCCCTGAGCCTCCTTTGCTCCAGGCTCAGCACCCCCAGCTCCCCCAGCTGCTCCTCCCCACACTTGGCCTCTAGACCCTTCCCCAGCTCCGTTGCCCTTTTTAAAATGCACTGTGAAATTAAAAGAAAAAGAAAAAAAAAGAATTAAAAAAGGCATTGATCCAGGTTCACATCTCCTAAAATCTCAACTGCTACAGAAGTCAGAAGCATGGAGCATTGGTATTTTCAGGCAACATGACACAAGATACAGGAGAAACCACTGAAATGTGCCCTCATCCCCATGTTCTGCACATTCCTGATTTCACACTGGGTGCTTTCATGCCAGGAGCTGCCAGTGAAAGGGTTCATTCAGTGTGCTGGGACCCACCAGAGCCTCAGCTCCCACCACACGCCAGCGTGACCCGGCACGGGGACAACTCACACTCACGGGATGAAGGTGGAATTTTATCACCCAGCAAGCCCCACTTGACCCCAGCCTCTCCAGCCCCCTCCCCAGCTCAAAACACACAAGAGAGGGGCTGATTAAAGCAATAACCTTCTTGCCAGATGTTTCTGGGTTTGGTTGCTTTCAAAATGTTTTGGCCACCTTCCTTTTTTGTTGTTATTTTGAGCTTTCAGTTCCTGGCCCTCCTCATCAAATGGATTTTGGAGGAAGATGTTGAACTCTGTAATATTGAGTTTTATATAAGAGATATAAGGGTTGCTTGAACTCTTCAATATTAAGGGAACTTAATATTGGGCAGCTGCTGACCAGAGCCTTGATAAACTGTAAAAGGTTAATTCCTACATTGTTATTTAATCATAGAACCATTAAGGTAGGAAAAGACCTCCAAGATCATCAAGTCCAACCATCAACACAACACTACCAGGACCATTAAACCATGTCCCAGAGTGCCAACTTCACACATTCTTTGAACCCCTCCAGGGCTGGGGACTCCAGCACCTCCCTGGGCAGCCTGGGCCAATGTCTCACCACTCTGCCAGGGGAGAAACTCTGCCTCAGATCCAAACAAACCT